ATACTCTTTTTGTTTCGCGTATACTATTTTTATCTCTCTCATATAAACATGTTCAAGGAGCATTCTTAGTGCTCATATCGTTTAAGAAGAAACACTTATTATACGCAATACTCCATTTTCATCTATAATTTATTTATGCACTTCTAAAATTCAAGTAATTTACATTAATCTTCATTTTCCTTTATGATACACACAGCAATTTCTTCATATGACTGTCAGAGCCTCACCTGATAATACCTACACCAGCACTTAACAGATAGTAACATACAATTTATAGCAAATTTTCGGTGTACCGACATCGTATGGTATTATATATTTAATGGTATTTATACCTTATCTGGAAATGAATTCGCCTGTAATAGAAGCAATCGTAAAAAATTTGCATCTTTGCGCGAATCAAGCTAATTTACTCGGTTGATATGAAAATAAATATAGTTGTACTCGAAATCTGAGTTTGAAATACTCGATGGATATATTTTCTTTGAATTCCCTTACGCAAAAGCAAAGCTTTCGAAGCGCAGCCCAAGACTTCAGAGATGTAGTTCTAGCATTCTAAGGAATGATCAAAATGATATGATATAGATATGTGTATGCTTAATAGACATCTCCCACACCATAACTGTATGGATAACGGATACATAAATTCCTTCACATATCGTTCGATATAACAAAATATTTGGGGTATAATTCGTAGTTGGAACACCGTATTAAATGTCTCAAGGTAAAAGCTGATGGCATTGTTGTGTATCTCCTTCGTAGATCGTAGTCTTCGAAGACAGCGACTTCATTCGCTCTAGCCTTGACTGCTAGGCAGTCCGGGTGACGTCGCGTCATTGGCAGAGAGGTCGACATTTCGCCTGTCATATCGCAGGCTTCTTCAGGGTAGTGACGAAGCGGCGTCACCCGGACAGCCTGGAAGTCATGAACTCGAGCCGCGGAAGCCTACGTGTTCATTCGCCCTAGCTGTGTAGCTAGGGTTGAGTATCCGCCTCCGTCGGGACTCGAACCCTATGATATCCCGGTCGGAGACACTGCAGCGTTAGCTGTTGTTCTCCAGAATTATCTCATCCGGAGTCTTCTACGTGGGTGATGTGTACACCTTCTGCGTGCCTCACATTTGTCATAAATTCCACGTCAAATGATAACGAGTTCATCTCTGAACCCAGAGATGTATAACTAGTGAGCAAGCCATTTGTTTAGAAGCTGCTCCAAAGTCTGCATTCTGATTTTCTTTCGGAGAAAACAGCCGGGATTCGGCACCAGTCGTGTAGCGCCGCAGACACAGTGTCATGACGTCACAAAATCACGCGCAGTTTCTCCCCTCACTTCTCCCTCCTCCGCCTTCTTCTATGGCGGCGTGCGTCCGTGAAGTATTCGCCTAACCGCTGCCCCTGACCTTGAGTGCTTCACGGTCGCCGCCTATAGAAAACGCCTTGTGCCGTCAGGGAATGAGATTCTCCTCACGACATTCCCGCTCCTCGAGGCGTAGTGCGTTCACGCAGACCGAAGAACAACGTCGTAACTCTTAACACTTAACCTTTCTCTTTCCTACTTTCTGAAAAGGCTGCTTTATTTGCATACGTACACGCGTGCGCGAGATAGCGCAAAAACACACGCACGCGTGAACAAAAACATGTACACGTATACGCTTAATTCATACACGTTGTTGTTGGAAATCAGATGCTATATTTAACTGGACGTATGTTATTGTGTGAGTTCGAGTTTAGTTTGGTTTTCTTTGGGAAAATGTTATCGTTCTTCCTTTTCTTGGATACAAATTCCAACTTATTGAATGCGAGGACAAGAAACACCATAAAAAACAGTGTTTAATACAAATCTGGTGGAATTTCAATGTTTGATATCCAGCCTATTGTACGAAAACTTGATTCTCAAAGTCAGATCGCTCTCACGATACCCGAAATATCAGTCTCACAAAGTGTAGCTCATTAATGCATATTTAAGACAAGAGATCTTGCGACAGAAGCTTGCGCGGGATTTATAGAAATGTTGCCTCTTTCCATTTCCACTCTATTTCTCCTATCGTTCATTTCCATTTAAGGTAACTCATTCGTTGCAAGCGATAATTTAAAGGTCAAATACGTAATTTTCTTGATATGTGTGCATTGTATATGCACGTCATGGCAGGGGCAATGTTACCAGTGTAAAATATTAGAATGAAAGTAAAATTATTAAACTGTACATGAATTTCAAAAAATACAATCAGTTTATACAGACTTCGTCAATAAAAGCGTCCACCTCGAATATTTTCTTAACTGTTTGAGATATGAATGTGGAATTTTCATCAAACGATTCAGTATATAAGGGTTCGTCAGTGGTATTTATCAGCATTTGTAGCATTTTTTAAATTTTAAAGATATTGGACTAACTTGGTTTTTTTAATGGACAACTATACTTTGTTTACAAATAGGTCTTGAGCAGACAAATTGGGAATCATATGTTGTTACTTGATGTATAATTATAAAGTAATAAGTTTCAGTAATTATAAACTAATAAGTAGCAGGTTCGGAAGTAAGTGTGTATGCTGCGGATAGATTTTTAGGCATTTTCACGGCCTCTATCGCCGGTTCAAATCGCGTATTAAGATGTCTACAGCATTATGTGACCTCTTATCAACAGTCGGCTCCGGGTACACAAGTGCAGGATCTTTAGTTTATCTTGCAACCCATTTCTTGAAGCACCTGCTCTTGTCGTAATCTGGCAACCACACATCTTTGCCGCCAGCCAAGACATCCGTAGCTGGCACGTCGAGACGGCAGAGGTGAGCGTTAGGTCATCAGATGCAGCAACTTTCGTTTCTTTTTTCTTTCCCCTTAAAAACTCATGACAGGTAAGCAGCTCGAAGGCCGGAACTCTCTCTGGCTGCAAGGCAGGGCAGCGTGGGGTTGGGCTACGCAGGGACATGACATAGCTATTTATATAAAAAAAGTATAGTGTTCCATTTAATGGAATGAATTCAATCAAGTATCTTCAAAATAAAATTAAAAAAAGCTATCAAAACGCTAATCAGTTCAACTGATGAGCCACCATTCACTGAATCGTATGATGAAAATTTCAAGCCAATATCGTAACCCATTTAGAAACTATTCGAGTTGGTATTGTCTTATTAACTCTCCCTGTATAACATTACCAATCGATTGCATTATAAGTTTTCTGCAAGAATAGCAAAGTGTGTGGTTTAAGTGAATTGTATAACTGGTAGGTAGTTTATTCATTTTAATAGTTACAAAAATTGCGACGTTTAAAAAACCCACTGTTTCGTAAAAATGCTTGACTCATTTCATATTTTTCTCTTCCCATAATTTGAGCTCGTTTACATACGCTTCTGGCAATAATGCGATTGTTAAAGGGTTTTCCATTGCGTCGATTCGTTGAGATGGACACAGACTACATGTTATACTTTCATGTAATGCGGGCTGCGGCGAAAGGCGCAGCGAATGCTACGAATTGCTGTTTTCCTTCTGGCTTCACTAGGAACTGTGATAATCTCTCATAACTAGGCCATGCGTAGGTCAGTCTATCTGCCATTTTTGTGTAATATGTACTCTACGGTCGAGAAAGAAATCAGCTGAAGATTCCTGCAGAGTCTGAAATCTGACACTTTTATACGTCTCGAATTCTACACAGTACCTACGTCTCTAACGATATTGAAATACTATATTAAAACTACACTTAATCAACATCACTTTTACACATTCTTTCTTTGGAAATTGAAACATTCTCCATTAACTTAGAAACTAGTTGCGCTCTAGGTCTCACTCCTATTTATGTCCCTAAACGAAACCCTGTTGAAGGGATATATTCTACAATAACACACAAGCAAGTATAAAAACGCGAAAAAAACATAGTTGAATAAATAAATATATCTTGCAAAATAGCATACATAGTTGAATAAATAAGCATATTTTGCAAACAAACAGAATTACAACATAGCAATCACATACCAATGAAGCTTTGTTGGGCTCAGTGGCATTGTTTTGAGTCTTCCATACGTCTTGGATTCTATCACCATGCGTTTGTCACATGGTTTAATTCTCGCACATTTCTATCCCATCTAAACTTCATCCCGTTGTCGAAGCTCAAAATGTTGTTTGAGCCCAAAACGAGCATTTTCAGATATTTTCCAAAAACCGTATGAAAAGAGACATTCCCTTCTATGATATTCAAAGCCTCATTTCAACCAAATCGTTAGCGGAATGACAAAAGTAGAAAATGTGAAAAATAATTGTTTTTGTAGGAAACAAACTACAATCGACGTTTTAAATTAAACAAATTATTTAAAGAGTAAATATGTTTAATGTTTTCTTTCGAGGTAGTTAATACTGAAATAATTGTTTGTTAATGAGTGTCAAGATAAAAGTTTTTTAAACCTAAAAAACATTCTAAACATTTCACAAGAGTAAGACAAAGAAACGTTTCGGTATGTCATTTATCCCATCCATATTCTAGTGGTTAGGTTAATGCTGCTGCAATAACCCCACGTAGACAGAAATTGCGTTCCTATTATCGATACTTTTAAAACTTCCCATTTCCGGACTGAGTAAAAAAATATTTTGTTTTTGAAAAAGTACTCCAAACACCATAGTACTAAAATATTTTTTCCAACACAAATGTTCCATTTTTATAGTTCGTGAAATTTAGTTAAAAATACATTGAATTGGTATAACTCAGATTTACTCTTTAAACAAGGGTCATTGCGATCGGTCATATTAGAAACGGACAACGATAATTTTAAAATCATCGGTCGCAATCGAACGAACATCAAACGCAAGAAGTACGAGGGTTTAAGAAACCCGATTGGTTCTAAGAAGATTCTATATTCCTTCCAAAATATCATGTACACATCACGTGTCTCAGTGCATTCCATTTCTATTCACATAATTTTAATTAAAATCGCGTTCATTACATGTCATGAATTCATTTCGCCCCAAACGTGTCTCCGCACTTTTGTAACCGCCGCGCCTCCACCTCGTGTGCCGCAGAGGGGGCGCTGATCCCGGAGGACCTGACGTCGGCCGCGGAGAGCGCGACGACGCTGCTGGAGGACGGCGTGCGCGAGGACGGCGCCGAGGACGACGACGTGGAGTTCTCGCTGGACCTCGACGAGCCGCCCGAGGACGTGCTGGAGTATGCGCACCGCCACCTGGGCGAGACGCCCGAGAAGCGCGACGCCGCCGTCGCCGAGCTGCGCGACTTGGTGTACGAGCGCGGCGACGTGGCCCCGCACCGCCTCGACGACGCCTACCTGCTGCGCTACCTGCGCGCGCGCACCTTCCAGGTGGAGAAGGCCTACAGGCTGGTGAGCACCCGCCCTCCGCCTCTTCGGCTTTCAAACTCGTGCTCCTCCTCTACATTGTCTTATTGCTCCTCATCTGCTCTCTTGCTTCTACTCCAACTTGCTATCTTGCTCCTCCTCCACATTGTCTTATTGCTCCTCATCTGCTCTCTTGCTTCTCCTCCAACTTGCTATCTTGCTCCTCTACATTGTCTTATTGCTCCTCATCTGCTGTCTTGCTTCTCCTCCAACTTGCTATCTTGCACCTCCTCTACATTGTCTTATTGCTCCTCATCTGCTCTCTTGCTTCTCCTCCAACTTGCTATCTTGCTCCTCCTCTGCTTTGCTTTCTTGTTCCTCTTTTCTCTTGCTATCCTTCTCCTCCTCTAGCTCTCTCGCTCCCCCTCTTCCTCGATCTCCTGCCCCTCCTCTAACTTCCTCTATTGCTCCTCCTATGCCTTGCCCTCTCGCTACTTCTATAACTTGCGCTCTTGCTCCTCCTCTAATTTGCTCTATTCCTCCCCCTCCTCCTCCATCTAATTGCCTTCTCACTACTCCTCCAACTCGATCTCCTCTATCTTGCTCTCTCTCTCTCTCTCTCTTTCTCTCTCTCCTCCTCCTCCTCCTCCTCCTCCTCGAACTTCCTCTCCTCTCCCTTGCTCCCTTGGTCTCTATATATCGTGGTCTCCCGTTTCTCCTCTACTTTGCTCTCTTACTCCTCCTCTATATGACTTTCTCGGTACTCCTCTATTTTGCTCTCCGTTATCTTACTCTCTTGCTTCTATATTTTTCTATTTTTTGTTCATCTTGGTTTCTTCCTCTTTCTCCCCATTTTGCTTTCTTTCTCCTCCTTTGCCTTTCTGTCCGTCAGTTCTACCTTTCTTTTTTTCATTCTCCACATCCTTCTCCTTTCTCTTTCCCTCCTCCTTCATCTTGATTTTTTCTCTTGCTTTCCTTCGCCTCCAACTTGCTGTCTTCTTCCTTTACACAATTTTTTTTCTTCTTCCTCTACCCGCACAATTAATGTAGTCACATAAATGTATGTAGTAGATAATTATCAAGTTAAGTTCAATTAAGTCAGTGAAATTTTTGAACGTCTCAACAATCCTTTGAATTAGGGCAGCATTTCACAAAAATATTTCCCTCCATTTGTGTCACTCGAAGACGTTTCTCTTTCATAATAAATCACATCATGTGAAGGGAAGTTATGCAAGGAACCCTGGTAACTTAAATGTCGCTGAATGGACGATATGCGCTACATGAAGTATTGACGGCGAGGCGCGCGCAGCTGTGCAGGTACTACTCCTTCAAGGACGAACACCCGCAGATGCACATGAACGTCAATCTGGACAACCTGCACTGTGTTGGAGACGACAACATTATCCACGTGCTGCCATACCGTGAAAACACGGGCCGCCGCATCCTCATCTACAAGATGGGTGAGTGAACTGTAATCATTCCGTAAAATGAAGTCAAAGTAATCTATGATTTGAGCTCTGCGGTTTGTATTGGATGTCACACCAAATGGTCGAGAAATTGTCCTACTGATTGTAATTTGAGTGTTGTTCTCAAAATTGGGCCAAAACAAAAACAACTCCTTTTATTTACCCCAAAGGAGCAAAAATACTCTGACTCTCAAATTGTGCTGTGTTGAATGAGTGCTAAGTAGAATATATTAACAATTCTGACATAGTCTAAAAATAATTTCAAGTACCTGCCGATCCCAATCCAAAATGTCACATATGTAACTTTGTTATACAAAATTTCCCACCACATATTCATTGATTAAAAGTTATCATCTTCAAACCCTCTACACGTCCTAGTAGTGTAAAATATTTATTCTGGTGTATGTGGTTTTAAGGAATAGATGAGCATAGTGCTATGTTTATTTAGAACGAATTGAAGGAAATTAAAAAAACAACACTTCTATGAGAGAAGCTCTCTGATCGATTGAAGTTTGAGATAACTTTGCCAAAAGAAATATTTTGTAGGGTTCTTTAGTTTGGTTGCAAGACTGCTTAGTTATTTCTGTCTTGTATCGCACGCGATAAGTGAAACAGGATTAACCGGGGATGTTTCGGGGTCAATCGTTCGCTCTGCCAGCAGTTATTATGCACGGCGCTAATTGCTTTAAAGCGGACTGCCCTCCTGTAAATAGCGCTGTGCTTAACACCTACTCGTCTCTCGCCTTAGGTTGAGGGTGAACGCGGCACTAACAGTACTTAAATGACTACTAAGGAAATAATTAATTATATTTTTCACATTTTCGTTACTATCCAATTTGTATACCTCAATTATTTTGGTCTCTATATATTTGCTAGATTTATTACTGAAACAGCGTTTGATGAGGGCATCAGGGCACACAAGAAAAAACCTGCACTTTTTTAGTACAAAACTCACAAAAAGGATTTCATACGTTTCAAAACAATAAAAAGCCTATAAACAGTTGATCAATTTTTGCTTTGAAGCAGTTTTTTTTTAAATAATACAAATTAGAAATAAGCACAGAATATTTCTTTTAAACAGTGTTAAAATATTTGTTTTATAAATAGTTTAATTACAGGATAAATAGTTTAGTAACATAATCGAGTGCCTTTCATTATTTGTATTTCAAATAACAGCTTGAAGGAACGATAGACCGTCTGATCACTTGAATGCCGCGTAATAGAGAAATTGGAAACTTAGCGTTGTTTTCACCCCTCGATATATAACGGTTTCGCAGACGACTGATTGTCAAGGCATGCGTGTGCACAGGCAACTGGAACCCAAGCAAGTACGGCATGGAGGAGCTGTTCAAGGCGTCGCTGGCCGTACTGGAGCTGGCCATACTGGAGCCCCGTGCGCAAGTGCTGGGCGGCGTGTGCATCTTCGACCTAGGCGGCCTCAGCCTGCAGCACGCCTGGCACGTTACACCTGCCGTCGCCGACCGAGTCCTGCAGCTCATGGGGGTAAGCGCTGCGGTCGCACCCTCAGCCTTCACACGATTTTTTTTTGTCATTTAAGGTCGCATCAATTTCTAGGTCATTAGCGACCACTATTGCGTGTAACGGTATGGTGACTATGAGGATGACATGATACGATGATGCTAGGGGGTGAAAGGACGAACACACCATGCCCGAGGCGGGACTCGAACCCGCGATCCTTCTGTCCGAGTTCGCTACGGCACTACTGTGTTAGCAACTCCGCCATCCGGATAGGCTCACTCGCTTTTGGTGAACGACGTGAAGGCTGTAAGAAGAGAACTCAACACCGGTGTTGGAGGCGAGGTGGGAGGTCGGTAGCTAATCAGCCACCCTTATCTTCAGCGACATAGCACGGTGATTGAAGGAAATTATACAGGTCTTTTTCGGCTTTCGCTTGTAGGTACTTGACCAACACCATCAACGCGTTCGTGACAGCAAGTGTAGATGGCGTTGACTTGATCCATGAGCTTGAAGGCTACAGACCGAAAATGCCTTAAAAGTTTCACCCAAGTTTCATCCCCGCGTGATGTCGCACAAGTTCAAGTGTTGTCAAATACACACATACACACCAGAGTGGTGTCTCTTTACAGTCTTATTGCTATCCGTTATCATCCCCGCAGGAGGGAGCGGCAGACGCTCTTAGTGGAAGAGATAACCTCCACTCGAAAACCGAGTTTCTCGGCGGTACTAAGGTCGTTAGCTTCAAAGGGGAGGCTCGCCACTTCAAAGGGGTGGTTCGCCACTGACTTTTCGGCAGGATTCGGAGCAGAACTTACACCAAACCCACATATAAAAGACCGTCGGTGAGCATGAGTTCTCCTGTCAGGTTGCCTAGATTCTCGCGCTCACGTAGTTAGCTTCACGGTGGAGGCAGTGAGGAGACGGGTTGAGGGACTCGAGACACCCCGACCTCGGCCCGGCGGTTTTCAGTCGAACCTGTCGGACACACGGAATTTCCCGACGCCGGTCTACGCCGCGTAATTACTATGCGACGGAAAATTCCGTCGCCCGTCACCATTAATTACTAAAAAAAGGGTCTCCAGCAGTTTGAGACCAATTCATACTAAATTAAACTACGTTGAAATTGTTTTTATTTAAATTGGCAAGGTTCGACGTATAATGTATGATTTGTTGTTCACAGTAAATATGCGACAGTTGGCAATTAATATATAGTATTTTTTCTGTCCTATTTTACATGAACTCCAGTCATTACTATTTTAGATGAAGTATAATTATGTAGACACAGTAAATTTACTTCTTAGTACAGCTTTTATATCTTGTTCAGAGAAACGGGAGACAATTTATTGATTGGCGGGCAAATCCATAGACAGAGATGTTAAGTTTGCATACGGGTGGCACTAGTTCGACCCATGCTACGAGCTTTTAAGGAGATTTTGCACGGCATAGCATACAGATCTTTCCCGGGTGCAGGGAAGAGTGCTCTTGCGCATTGAATCCGATTTCAGCCAAAGAGCTTCCGGCACCAGTTTGCGTCACAATACGAGTATTAGCGGGAATTTTCAATGCAGCCATATACCAAAATTATCACCTTGTTACAAGTCATTAAAACATTGAAACTTCAATTGAGACATTAAAGATTTTTTTTTTAAATACTGCCTCTTATACACCTTCATCGTTTTATTTATGGTTGGTTACCGTTGAAAATTGTCACTTTACGCGACTTTCAAAATGTTTCTCGACATTTCTCGCTCTCCAAGCAACATGACGGCATGCGTCTAGCCTAGCTATTCTAACGTAGCGCCCTTGGAGCTGCGCAGAACGAGCAAAAATCGTTGCGCCGGAGTAACTCACCCATATCTTGCCAGCATGACGTACAGCAATCGACTGCAATATCATTGATCTTCTGCGAAAGTTCTGATGCACAAAAGTGATGCGAAACTCTAACTACGCATGTATAGAACAACGACAATGTTGTCGATTTCTATAACGCTTCGCCGTGCACAAATTCCCTTATGAGCGCAACTAGGGACGTGAAAGGAAACTATCAGGACGCTCTATTGTTTTCCTATAGCGATGGCGTTGACTGAACTTGCGTATTTGTAAAAGATGTGAATGATTTTAATCCAGCAAAAATAGGATGTGTACAAAATAAAAGTAAAAATGTTAATAAATATGACACCACCACAAGAAACTTTCTTGATTTATTTTTATTATATTCGTTTAATATCTCACGTGTAAGCTCTAGTGGTGCTGTCACAACTGCTCTCTTGCGGCGACGTGGCCAAGTGCTTGGAGTGGAATGAATGAAATATGAGTTATTGGCATGTAAAACACGCTTACAAAGCCAAGTTACAAAGTATTACCTTTACATGATGCCTACAAAATAAAATTCTTTATTTAATAACTTGAACAGTGTAGTAGTGAGGGCTGTAAGTATTTTCAAGTTATCTTAGTTTCAAAACTCAGCCGAGATAAGCCAGTAATACTTACTGGAAAAAGAGTTGAGATATTTACACTTTGTTGTGCGCATACTTTAAAAACAATCGAAATGCAAAAGCGTTAGATTACACGTCTCTTATTCGCCCTAATTTAGAATTCGGAGTAGCTTGCTGGGACCCTTACAGAAAAGGACAAAGATACAGTATGAATAAAATTCTAAAGCGGCAGAAAAATCCCATTTAGTAAACAAAACACATTCGTAGGTTTGACATAGAAACGCGTAGATAAAAAACAGGTTTTGCGTTCTATTTAAAGCTTACTTAGGTGGACCGGGATGGGGTGAAAATCAGAGCAGTACCGAGACACCATTCTATGGCAGAGGGGACCATCGTTACAAAGTCGAACAAAAGAAGCAGAAAACAGACATCACAAAATACTCTTTTCTAAATCAGACGATAAAGGACTGGAACAGTTTACCTTCAACAGTCTTTAAAACCTTTCCTCGCGCAGTAAAAATGCTTAGAACAAGATTACATCGAATATAATTTAGATTATATTCACAATATTATCTAGTATCATAATATTATCTTGTATTTGATATTTAGGTTAAGAAAAGTACTCGTAGTTAAGTGCAGTGTAGTATTGGGTTCAGTGAGGGAATCGGATAAAAGAAAAATGGGCATGGAAAGTGGCTTAGAGTAGCAAGCGAATTGCAAAAAGACAATAAGCAATAACTCACCCATAATTGATGCAATTGTTCTGTTTCTGTGGTTTACATGCGTTTTTATTCATTTTACTTTCTAATAATTATTTGTTTTATTGTATTATTATTATTATTATTATTATTATTGTTATTATTAAATTCTGCCACCAGTTCTTGTAACTATTTGCTGAATAATTCTATCTAACAAAATCCATCATTTATAGAATATATTCAAAGATTTAAATATTTTGCTTAATGCTTAAAATAAATTTAACAATTCATGGAGGTGAGATTACATTGTACCACTAAGTCTCAGTGGTGCGTTATTCTGACATGAGTGTCCAAAGTTCTCGGACCACAAGAAACCAGTAGCCGTGGGCGTCAAGGATAGTATCACCTCTCTCCCGCCAAGGCCACTTAAGGGGTTGTTATTTTGTCTGCAATACTATAAAATCTAATCTGTAGTTCGTATGCAGGTGCCCAAACGTTTTCTTTTACTCGTGGAATTTTACTAGTTTTGAAATGTCGCCCAGAACACTTGTTGGTTCTTTTACTCACCATTTCGGAGAGTAAAATAGTGATGTAGGATTTAAGGAAATGGGCGCGGATTATATTTATTCCTTAAACGACACATATGTATAAACCGTTGTTTGGCGATAAATAAAATAAGTTTCCACCTCTCCCATTATTCTGCTTGCCCCCACGTGCCCTTCCTCCTGTTGCAGGGCAGCATTCCCATCCGCACGCACGCCATCCACATCGTGAACCAGTCGTGGATCTTCGACACCATCTTCGCTATTTTCAAACCCCTGCTGGACGAGCGAATGCGTGAGAAGGTAAGTTTGACTCGTTGTTTCCATGTCCCTCTACTCACCCAGATGGAATGCGTCAAAAAATACAGAACTCGTTTCAGTTAAGAATTGATGAAAATAGTTTTATTACCACATATTCATGACTGCGCTCGCAATATATAAATTTTGACTGGGGAGCTACCCGAATCCCGATAATCTCGAACATAAAAGAGACTCTTCGTTTTCCTGACTCATTTCTTTTATTATTTGACGTGTTATAATCTTCTGAATGTAACTAGCGTAGGTCAATGTCACAACAAAATTCTCTGACACAATTTGCCTGAAGCAAAAGCCCGACATCTTCAGCAATTCCGTCATAGCTTTGTAAGAGTTCTAAAAGGTTATTTTCAATGCACACATCTTTATCCACGAATACTTGAAAAATTATTAAAAATATTAATTCAAGGAGCGCTTGAAATTACTGAAACTTACTTTTCTGCAGTTCTAATAAACAGTAGTGTTTAAGTGATATACAATATTTTTCTTTATTTCGCTTTACCGTATTGAAACAAAACTCTTGAAAATTTGGTGCTTTTGAGTAGAATTTAACTTTTGTAAAACTGTTGCCGTTTTTCTAAGTGTTTTAGTATGTTGGGGATGAGAGCTCTTTCCCTTCTCGATCCGCACTTCTAAACTTGAAGGAATAAGACCGCGGGTCGGCGGGGCTATCGACGCAAGGCATGCCCTCAACTGAATTCGGTCAGCACACTCATCTGCGACGGGTCGCAAATCATTGAAAGAGAAAACGCTCGGCCAGACGCGGTGTAGTAATTCACTGCTGACAAACATGCGTGCGCAAACACACGCCTCGTGTATTAACGGTCTGCTACGTGAAGCCGTTGAGAATGCCCGCCTGACGGCTGCCGGTGGCCTTGCGGATGTACTATTTCTGTTCACAGAAATAGTCTAATAATAGTCTCTGGGCCTTATAATAGACAAAAGCACTTTAAATTTTGACTATGAGTGTTAGACGATATCCTATTCGCTATGAAAGTCATAATGAAGGCCATTATTAACTAGCTAAATCCCTGCGATTGCATGGCAAAAAAGAGAGAGCTGTAGAAACGATATCACAGAAACGTTCTACATATGCACAACACGGAAAATCGAAACTGCAAAAATGTTGTTTTATTTCGTTCAGTACATATTTTCGAAAGGTAATGAATTGAGGGAGGTTTACAAATTCTGAAACAATACAATCACTATTCATTGTGACAACAGAGTTAAATATGTTTCTCAAAATAACACTGGAATGTTTTATATTTACCGAGATCTGTACATCTGTATTGTATTGAACCATGGTAGAATATCTTGCTATTCACCACAAATTAAAAACATAATGCAATTATGATTGTAATATAATTACAATCACAGATTTTTTCGGAAAGGGACACACGTGTCAGATGATTACTGAACATTGCATTTGTTACACTTATCCATCTTTACATTTAAATGAAAGGCCCTAGAGGTGTTCTTAGTTATCACTGGCTCTTATTAACTGATGTTATAGTAAAGACACTTAAATCTAATGATTTATTAAAATAACATGTAGTTTGTTTAATATATTAATAATTGTTGCTTGTTTTTTATATGATAAAATTGATAGAATGAACGCCGTCATTGATTTATTATGCCGTTTTCAAGACCAACTACAATACAAAGAAGTTAGTCTTGGTAAGATTGCATCATGATGTTAGTTGGTAAAGTGAAGATAACGACATTTTAAAGTTCGAAGATTGTTTTTAAAGAAAAAAAATCACGAAATTTGGTTCAGTAGTAAGCTCAAATTTTTTTCTAAACATAAACCCAGAGTTTTAAACCTACAGATCCACCTTTAATCTCTTATTTATGTTTTAATGTATTTATAAACGTAATGTGTTATAATTGAAAGTCTAGAGAAATGCTCCAAAATAGGCGCAGGACCAATTAAATAAATACAAAAACACAATTTCTACTGGTGAAATAACAAAACATCCATTCCTGCGATCCTATGAGTGTTGTGCTTTTGATATGAAATATTTAACCATATTCTGTTTAAAATTAATACAGTGGGCAATCACACAACGCTTTCAAGAGTATTCTACCTACACAGCGCTCATCGAACATCAAGTGTTTTTAGTTTTGCTTTATTTTATTCCTCCTGTTTGGCACACTGCGCACTCATTTTGGCATAGTGAGTTAGCCTATAACATTGTGTAGATTGGGTAAGTTTTGCATCGCTCTAAAGCAAATGTTTTAAAGTAATTTTAGTAATAAATTTATTCTAATAATTATCTAAAAGGAATATGATTATTTTAATCTATTTTTAAATGCACAATTTAAATATTATAAAACTGGTACATGTGACATATAAGTTGGAAATATTGAAAGGAGTTTCAAATAAAAATTTCACGTTTCGTATTTTAATTCTGGAAGGTAATGGTGCATAGATCTCCCACGGTTGAAAATTTGCTTAGTTTGTCTTCCGCATCCAGGCCACAAGGTAATGGCACTACTGTTATCGCTACCCTGACGATCGAGCATTTGGAGAATAAGAATTAGAAGATTCCCACCACAATTAATTTTAAAAATGGAGATATTAGGCAAGTGGTCTATTCCGAAAGAGGTATGCTAATTGTCCACATATCGAATTTAGTTCTGTAACCCCGGAATTTTGACAAAACTACGAAAATTGTGCAAATTTCGGCCACCACTCGTGCTTTCACTCTAAAGGCCCATTCACAATGCAAACATAAACATAAGCATGGCGTTAACATAAAAGTAAAGACTGCGTCCATAGGCGGACTCATTCATAAGGCGTTCGCATAAGCAAGACGTTAACTTAAAAGCTTGCAAGCTGCAAGTTTCTGTGCTTAACCGTAAGTAAGACAAGAAATGAACCAATCACAGTACATTCACTCAAAATCGATATTCGAAATAGGAGTGAAGTGGATAGACGCCATATGGGCCACAGATGATACCTCGAAATTGATTCTCTCATTCAATCAATAGTAAACTAGAATGTCTCAGCCAATAGAAACTTATATTGCTTAGGTTTATGTTAGACATTGTAAATACTTCAGTCTATCACTTATGTTAATGTTTTCGTCTATGCGTTATGCTTATGTTTACGTTTGCATTGTGAACGGGCCTTAATTCTTCTCCATCGTTGAGCGGTCGTTGACTGCCCCCCGCTTGACGCGTGCCTTTGCGCCTGCGCAGATCCACTTCCACGGCAGCGACATGGAGTCGCTGCACCGCCACGTCGAGCCCAAGTTCCTGCCAGAGGCGTACGGCGGCACGCGCCCCGAGTGGAACTACATGCGCTGGATGGACGCGCTGCGCTCCGACGAGCGAGTCATGCGCGGTGAGTGGGCGGCGCTGGCGCGCGCACAGGCAGGAACGGAGAGTGATGCCCCCCCCCCTCATGACTATTTGGAAATTAGCTTTCATAATAAAACATTTTATTTCTGTAAGTATGTTCACTACCTGATTCCCACATCCCTTTGGTTTAACCAGCCAACTTGGAGAATATTGTTACTCGACATTTGGGGAAGAGGCTTTCAAAGCTATCAGGCCACTCTGGACATTGTTCGAAATGAAATGAATTTATTTATTTAACGACCAAAAACAGTGTTACGGCAGGGCGGATCCAGAGACGGATTTTGGGAAGAGAAATTCAAAATGTTTTGGTCGAATGTGTCATATTACAGATTTTGTAAAAGTTTGCAGGCTACACTCCGCTTGTGCTGTGATACGATTTTATTCATTTTAATGATTATACGAAAACATTTTTGCCTGCAAGTTTCGTGACAAGTCAAAATTAATAGTTACTGATAAAACTTTAGGGGGGGGGATTTCCCGTATTTCTCTCCCCGTGGATCCGCGCCGGGTTAGGTACTTTGGGGAGAAGGCCAATTTGTACAAGGTTTCTTGAGTTTTGGGATTGCTGATCAAACTCGTATACATATTAAAGCTTATTTATGAATACAGGTAGCAACAAGCGTTTTCGTCAAGCATTGGTATGAACATATGCTCCAATGTAATAAAAACTATTTGCGAAGGCAAAACAGCCATCAGATTTAGGCTATTATCCCTAGTGTTCTTCGTAAAGCAATTAATTTACTGCAACAAGAAAATGCACAAAGATAGTTTGAATGTCTACAGATCTCAAGAAAACGTGTAAAGATGAAGCTATATTTATGTCCTGAAGCAAACTGAACGAAAACCTGATCGAGAGGGGGGGAGGAGATGTATAATTAAAGTTATAATTTTATTCTCCTTGTAGAATGTTTAACTCATTTACTTGTAAGCTATGCCGTATTAAAAACAGTTTAAAGGTAAAGGGGCCCCATACAAATATAGCTGCTACGCACGCCTTTGGCGCTCATTAGTGACAGGAATTCGAGGCATAATTCAGCAGCCCAACCGGGATTTTTCTGTGGTAAGGGGGAGGGCGGGGCCATAGTTATGGTGTCCAGCAAACTTCGTTTTTCTTAAAAATTATTTTTCATTAATGCTTATTTTAATGTTTCAGAGTAGTTAATAACGTGTTTGAGATATTGAATGACATTCCTTACCAAAGAAAATTAGTAAAAACTATGTTAGTGAATGTATCATTGGATTTTGGAGAGGGCTGGGATCTGAAATCCCATACCCTCCCTTTCATTGCTTCGCCATTGCCATATATCAAGTTCTATCTGACGTTGAGGAAACGTCACAGTAAAGCACTGTCTGATTTGAAGGAAGTCTAATATGTAAACTGGTTTAATGTTACTGGCAGAGAGAACATATTAAAACTTCATTTTCACCCAAAAGAAAGATAGAACCTTGTTATTCTGAGACCGCGAATTTACCGCACTTTATACAATCATTTGGTTCTGTATAAAATATACCATAATGCCCGTCGAATAATTTTTGTAAGGAGAATTTCAACTGCAAAATGCTATTTCAATATATGCTGTTTTAGTTACGGTTTATTTTAGACAACAGGTACTAGGATATGTAGAGAGAACATTTTAAAATGTTTTATAGAATGCGGAACAAGAGAGGGAATGAAAATGTGAAACTCCTTACATTTTTCTGTATCCAAGTTATACTGCATGCGGACTAAGTTTTAATAAACTAAGAACAATACGACTGCGAATTACAAATAGTAGCCCTTTTAGACAGCTGCCATTGGAAGAAAGCTTCCATATCCGTAATAGTGTGGCAAGTTTAATAATTATTGAACCTAAGTACGATACGTGGGTAATTATTCCAGTACATTCTGGAACAGATACTTTTTGAAAAATGTATTATCTGATAACGAATTTATACCACTAATTCAGTGTGAAAGAGAAAGAATAACAGTAATAATAACAACAACAGAGGCGCACCTAGGACTTTTCCGTGTGTGTGAGCGTGTGTGTGTGTGTGTGTGTGTGTGTGTGTGTGGAGGGGGGTTATAATGTCCAGCCGACTTGATTTTTCTTATAATTTTTTTTTTTCATTTAAGCCGAGTATATAATGAATTTTTGTTTGACTTATACTTAATATTTATAACTTTAACAATTGATATATTGAATAACCTTCTTTAAAACAAAAAAATAGTAAAAGCGATATTTTTGAAATGTTGTCATTGCTTCTGGGGGGGGGTGGGCATAAGCCCATTCTTTCCTTGGGTGCGACACTGATGATGAAGAATAATAGTAATAAAATAATAATAATAATAATAATAATAATAATAATAATAATAATAATAATAATAATAAAGTGCAGAATACTAATGTGGTGTGTGTGCGTTCGCAGAGCTGCGCAGCCTGGGCTACCGCACGCGCGATGACCCTCCGCTGGAGGTAGAGGAGGACTCCTACTACGACGACGAGTGATGGCGCCCCTCAACGGCGGCCTCCGGGCGCGTGGTGTACATAGTTTTGCGCGCGGGAGGCTGGACGCGTTCGAATGACGCGCCTCGAGCTCCAATGAGAGAGCGAGCCTTGGCGCGGACAGTGATGGTGTATGGTACACTCGCAGGGAGTGTGAAGCGGGAAGAATGAAGACGGCGGTCGTGTAGACGGAGATCAAATCTTCTGGACCCTCTGTGCGTTGCTTAGCTCCGACTCACGGCGGAGAACAATTGTCGATATGGCACTCTATAGTTTTAGTTCTTTTTGTTCAAATATTTCCAGTGTGTTTAAAATAAGATGTAGGTAAAGGAAACGGTTGTTTCCTATCTTTCAAGCAATAGAAATAGCGGGCCAGTCTCGAAAACAAATGAACGGAACAAACGTACAACCAGTAGTTGATGTACCTGCAGCATTTAAATACTGAATAGCTGCCGCTCGGATCTCGCGTCTTTGGTGGGTATAGATGCTCAAAAAATGTATATTTTAAAGTTTACTTATACTGTAATATGAACTGTGCCTTGTAAATGCTTCTCAAACGTTTTGGGACCACGCCCTTCCATCCAGCATAATTAAACTGAAATATAACACATGATATGCGTGATATCTGGTAAATATGTGTTTAAATGGTAGCAACAAATCAGATTCAAATTGAAAATGAAAAAAATAACATGATTAAAAATGTTTCAGTACAATTTTTTTTCTTCTCGGACGTGGGGTGGCCTTCAAGGTCGAATTGAACTTTAGAAATACTTCGTTCTCACTGGATGCTGTACTCCAGCTCTTCCTTCTTGTGCCTTAAATTGGTGGACGGTGATGATACACATTTTTAAATCAGAAAGAGACTTGTTAAAATATTCCATTGGAAATGATACATCATGCCATTATCTTGCCTTGCCTAATCACTGCCTCTGACATAACTGTATTTCTGTGACAACTTCCAATTCAATTATTAATCGTTTCCACACATGTAGAAGTTCTGTATAAAAAGAACGACAAATCTTATTACATTAAGAGCAATTCAACCAAACCCTGTATAATGCAGTCATGTACAAAAATGCATCGAGAGACGCTAAAACGGGTAAATATTTGGCCCGTGACTGCTTTTATAATAAACGTATATTCTCATTGTTTCTCAGATGTATTTTTTATTTCACCTGCTTCACTTTCAGACCCTCCTAACTACAAGACCTCCAGTGTAATACATTCATTCAAAATGAACTTGAATCAGTGGCGATGAACTCCCTCTCCTGGCTGGCGAGATCCGGCTTCGACCTACTTCCGCTTGCGGGAATTTCCTCAACCAGGTATCTCCCAGCAGCGCGGCATCGCCCCCAGCCGGGACAAGCTCTAAGCTCCCGGCATGTCTTTTTTACGGGGGCAGGGGAAAATCTTCCAAAGATACTGCGAAGCTCGCACAACTCAGCGTGGCGGATTCACAGCTAGCCTGTGCCTAACCCACTAAAACCCCCTCCCATTCCTCCGGTCCCCTTCGCGCAGAACCGCCGTCAGACACTGCATCATGGGAAAGGCAGATCGGCCTATCGCTCTATGCCAACTGATACTCCTTCGCACCGGAAGCTTCTTTAAAACTATTGCGGCTATTGCACTCCAATTCTCCTGAGACGCCAGCATCCTAGTGACGATGGTTTCAGGGGCCACTACCTGCGAGGAGTCCGTGGAGTTCTTCAATCTCCGCAACAAAGCGCGGGCAGTGAAAGAATACGTGCTCTACATCTTCAACCAATGGGTCACAGGTTGGGCATGAGGAGTCATCGTCCAACCCGAAACTCAGTTGGTATGTACGGTAGCACCCACGCCCCGTTAACAACTGTGTCAAATAATGATCCGCATCTCCGTGTTTCCTTTGAGTCCACATCGTTTGGAAAGATGAATGTCCTACCAGTGGATGATAAAACCCATCACCGTTGCCACTACTCCATTAGCACGTCCCTCTCTTCCTCCTAAATGTAGTTCTCTCTCGCTTACGCCTGTAGAGCCTGGCCCTTTCTTGTGCCGTGAGGTCTATAGGGGGCATGTCAGCTATCACATAAAGTCATATGATACCGTGCGAATCACCCGGGCCACCCTCGAAGCAGAACTTCTATACACTGACTTCGCACGGCGGGCGTACGACCGGATCCCAATGGCATCAGTTCAAATGGGGGTAGAATGAAGTTCACCGCGCTAGTCAGCAGCCTCCGGCTACTTTGCCTTGGACCCCCCATGTTAGGAATAATTCGTGGCAAGGCGGAGGCCATGCAGGACGCTTTCTTACAGACTATTCGCAAGTGCTCGTCGAAGTGCAGTCTCGCGTCAATCTGAACACTTAAGTATCTTAGTGACTGATGGGAGGGTATTTTACTACCTCCTACATTGAGAGTAATACCCTCCTTCCCTTTCCTGTTTGTCAACGAGGCAGACTTAGTTTTATGCCACCGCCGGATCTCAGCTTCATTCTCACGCAACGTGCGTGACCTCTTGTGCATATTTGCCGACCACTACCACCGCAACATCCTTAGTAAATTAAATAGCACTTACGCCTTCCGGGAGCTGGAGCTTCAAAACGAAATCATACATAATATTCCACAACAGCAGGCCAAGTACCGAGCCTTGCTGAAGCCTCCTCAAAGTAGCTTCTAATTATTTTCGTAATGTAATTCGGAACTACCATATTTTTTAACGCAGCAAGTATGGAACCCCACCTTGCCGTATAAAACGCGTTCGTGACGTCGAGGGTAACAATAGCACAATACTTCTTTGTGCTTCTTCTCCGTCGTTTGCCCTCAATAGCCTTGCGTGCGATGTCGATGACGACCTTAATTGCGTCCTCTGTGGATCTCGCCTTCCTGAAGTCATATTGATAAGACACTTCCTGTAATCCCTCCGTATAGGCTTCAATCTGTTTACAGATGCTCCGCTCTAACACCTTGCCTGCAGTATACAGTAAACAAATACTGGATGCACTATGCTGTAGGGTCGCTAGGAGGCGTAACGCCCTTCGGAAGGACCACCGACCAGCCGTTTTTGCTTCCAACGACGAGGGAAATTTCCCTCTTGCACGCACACACATATTAAATGCCCCTAAGAATAGACCTGGTCCAGTTCAAATAGCGGTCTTAATAGAAACATTTGGCACTCCATCCAAGCCAGGGGCTTTGCAATATCGAACCTCATCGCAAGTCTCGGATAGTTCGTCTAATGAAACTGTCGGAACCTCGTGCACATCTTGAAGAGTGTCCGCAGGTTGTAACATATCCCACTGGTGAGAAAAAAAGGTAGCAACTATATTCTCCAAGAATACCGATCAAATCGGGGGTGGCCTGGATAGAGCCTTGCCGTTTCCACCTTATACAGACGACCCCAGGGGTCAACATCCACCTCGTTGCTTAGCTCTCTCCAGCAGCGATCCTTGCTGATCTTAATGGCTTTTGTGAAAGCTCTTCTCCCGGCGTGTGTGGTAGTGCATGTGAGTGTAAGTAAGGAGTGAGGAAAAAGAAGGAATGATCGCGCGTGGCCTGTTTATTAGGTTAGTGCTCTGGCACTCGCTTGGTCTCGAGCCGAGAAATCATGGAAAACCATGGACAGACGGACGTTTTGCCATCAATCGATTTTTCAGTATCAAGGACCCACAAACATGGATTCTGGCTACACTACGAGTTAAAGGAAGTAATTTACTATATATAGCAAGATCAGAGTAGCTGGACGCTAGACTTCGCGCCTAGACAGCGGCTGAATTCGACCTCGCTGACAAGATACTGTCGAAAACCATGCCAGCGTCGAGACACGAACCCTAGAACCTCGTCAGAGGCACTACAGTGACATCAGATGATGCTCCGAACCACTTCTGCCAGTTAAAATTTACATTTTTTTAATTTTGTAAGTGAAGGAAATTTATTTCCTTTGC